ACCAACACAGAGCACTGACCACGTGCCAGATGCTAATGCAAGCACTTTACACGTATTAGCTCAATACCCAAAGCAAACCTCATGAGGCATGTATTAATCATTATTTTCATTTTAGTGATGAGGAAAGGAGGCACAGAAGAGTAAAGTAACTGGCCCGAGGTCACAGCTGGTGGTGATGGAGCCAGATTGGAAGGCAGCTGTCTCCTGAGCCCCCAGGCACACAGGTGGCTTAGACTGACCTAGAGATCCCCGATTGATTAGCAGACCAGGGTGGAGGTGGAGATAGAATCCCCTTTCTTACCTGGACTGTCAATCAAAACGTGCTGCCCTCACCTAGCCAAGGAATGGGCACCTGACCCCAGGTGGCCAATCACGAACTCTCCAAGGATTCTGAAGGGCTGGGCTTCTCCCTGGATGGGTAGTGCTGCTTCCAGTCAGTCATTCCCTGGCTTGACAGGGTTGCTGTCCTTCCCATCTGGGATGCCCCAGTCTCTTCCCACATGGTCCCTTTTGGCCATAATGTGTGCTGTTGTTTGCAACCAGAGACCCCTGCTTGAGGCTCCCATCCTCCCCACCCAGGTATCTCCTAAGGGAAAGTGCTCTCCCCTCACCCTATGGATTGTCCATGATCCTGATGGGTGTGGATGGGTGCAAAAAAGGCGAGTCGCTGGAGGTCTCTAGTGATGGATCACAGGGCTCTGTCCTTTCCCCTGTCCTGTTGATCATCATTTCCCCAATTTGAATTTAGAACACAGAAGGCCTGCTCATAAAATTTGCAGCTGTCATAGTGGCAGAATTAATGCTTTGTGCAACAGAAGTGGGACTCACACAACGCTTTCGAGACTAGACGGCTGGATGGGAGCCAAGAAGATGACATTTAACCAGCATAATACAAGGTCTTGCGTGTGTCTCCGAAGAATCCATTGTGCAAGTACCAGGGGAGGGAGAGTTGGTTGGACAGCAGCTCGTGGGAGAAAGCTCTCATGCATTTGCTGTGAATAATGTGGCTGTTGGTAACACAAATGCCTCTAGTAATGCAGGCTGCATTACTAGAGATTAAGTGTCTAGAAAACTGGAGACAACAGTATCTTTCAACCTGGCAGTTGTCAGTCCAGACAGGGAGCATATTTCCAGTTCTGGGCCCCCCACTCTTTAGGAGGGAAAATGACAAATCACAGCGTATTTCAATAAGGGTGGCCCAGGTTATGGGGAAACCATAGCAACTTGATGCCATTGATTACAGCTCAGGGAACCCTTGGGGACCCAGGAGAGTCCCAGAGAAGAGGCCCCAAAGACACAGTATTAGGGACCAACTTTTGGAAATTACAGGAACGTTTTAGTCAAGGCCCTGTGGGTGGCAAGTAACCGAAACCTACTGGAGCTCACTCAGCAAAAAGAGGAATTTACTCTAAGGGAACAGGTACATGTTAGGACCTGGAGGGCAGGAGGGGCAGCCTCAGGGCTTGGAGCTGGGGATCTGGGAAGGGGCAGGAACTGGGGCAGGCTGACTCTCCAACTCTTTTTCCTCTCTGCTCCCTCTCTTGCCACAAAACAACTTTCTCTGCTTCTCAGGGCACAGGACAGAAAACACTGGCCAGCCCTGGGACTGCATGATCCTACCCGCAGCAGCTCCACTAACTGTTCAGGACTGAGGGTAGGACAGGGGGTAGGTAGGGACAGGGGATGGGGCAGGGGTGAGGAAGCCAGGACGAGTCAGGAAAGGTGGGCAGGGGCCAGGCCAGCAGGGCCAATTCTCCAAGATTAAGCGAACAGACACCTGGGTGTCCCCTGCCCAGTGTAAAGTTTGAATGTCACCAGGAGTAGATGCTCTTCAAGGTCCCAGGTGTTCTGCCTGTGTCCAGTCCCTCCCTTCCTCTCTCATAAGTTAACCGCTCTGGGGATTTGGGGGTTTCTCATCCCCTTACTTTCCTTTTTTTTTGCAACAGAGTCTCATTCTGTTGCTCTGAGTAGAGTGTCGTGGCATCAGCCTGGCTCAAAACAACCTCAAACTCCTGGGCTCAAGGGATCCTCCTGCCTCAGCCTCCTGAGTAGCTGGGAAAACAGGTGGGCGCCACCACGCCTGGCTAATTTTTCTATTTTTGGTAGAGACGGGGTCTGGCTCTTGCTCAGGCTGGTCTCAAACTCCTGAGCTCAAGTGATCCACCCACCTTGGCCTCCCAGAGTGCTAGGATTACAGGTGTGAGCCACCGCGCCCGGCCTCTCTTGCTTTTCTTTACAGGTTTAGTACATATGTCTATCTGCCTAAGAAATGGAGGGTTCTCTTTTGCATGCCCATAGCTACTTCTGCCGTGGTGCTTTTTTGCTGAGCATATATTTGCGAGATGTTGATATGCATAGCCGAGGAAAGGCCAGGCTCGTCCAGGACCATGGGTCACCTTCAGGGGATGGAACAACAGTAAGACCAGCACAGCATCCATCCTAGAAATCCTGGCATAGTCCCCTCCCCAGACAACCTCGGCTGAAGGAGGAGAGAACGTGACAGGCTCCCTGAGGAGAAGGAAGAGACAGTCAGCTAGTGGAAAATGCCCGCCAAGAAACTTCTTGGGGAAGACTGGAACCTGTGTTCCCCAATCCCATGGCAGGGCCTGAGCCAGTGAAATACTTCTGTTGCCACCATCACTGTGACCTACTCATGTGTCCATACCCTACAGGTGCAGCCCCTGCCCAAGCCCCTGCTGGGCATGAAGCCAGACAGCCCCTGGTCACCAGGGCCCCTGGGCTGTGGGTACCTGGGGGAGCCTGGCAAAGGGCATTTGGAACTCTGTGTCTGGGTTTTAAGCTAAAGGGACAAAGGTAGACATCACAGCCTCTCCCCACCTTCTCTGAGCAGTTACTGAAAATGAGTTGCCCTCGACAGGCATCATCTCACCGACCCCTCACAAGGCAACCCCTGTCAGTGCCCCCATTTTACAGCTGAGGAAACTGAGGCACTGAGTGATCGGGTGGCTTGCCCAAGGTTGCAGAGCTGGTAGTTGACAGGGCCTGGGTTTAACCCCGTCCTGTGGCTCTAACACTCCATTCTCTGGGGCAGGGGCTCAGACTTAGTTTGGGGGTGCAAGGAGGGCAAGGGAAGGTTGTGACCTTGGAGCTAGATCTGAAGGCCAAGTCAGTCAAGAGGATGGGGAAGACCATGCGGCAGACAGTCCGCAGGAAACTGCACAGGCTGGGGGCAGTGGAGGTGGAGGGATGGAGAGAAAGGCAGTGGGGAGCAAGGAGAGCAAGGTGGGGTGGGCAGGGCCAGGATGAGGCGGGAGAGGGGTATGGCGCTGTGGCCCAAGAGCCCCTGGCATTCATGGCCGGCAGTTCCAACTCCAGACTGCTGAGCCAGGCAGACAGCTTAGCCCCAGCACCCCGCTGAGTGGTTAGGTCTACCCAGGCCTGGTAGACAAGGTCTACCCAGAGGGCTCTGGGAGTGATGGGCTGGGCTGGAGAAGGTGGCTCCGGGCCCTCTGGGTAGAGCAGGAGCCACCAGGTGGCTGGAGAATGGGCCACAGCCAGGGGATGGGTGGTGGGTGGGGCCTGAGCAGGAGGGGCAGAGGGCCAGGGGAGCTTTGTCCCAGGTCTGGGTGTGGGGACAGCCTTATAGGCCCAGCTCAGACAGGTCCCTGAGGAGCCAACTCAGTGACCTGGGCCCTCTGGGAGCCGGGATGGGGTGGGACTGCCTCAAAGCTGCCATTGTCGCCCTCTCTCCCGCCTGACTGACTGGGGCTTAAAATAGAGCAGGAGCACAGTGCATCTCGTGAGAAGAGTTTCTGGCAAAGGGGTCTGGGGGGAGGGGTGTGAGTCACCGCTGGGAACCCTTGAGTTTGAACCTCCCAAAGCCAGGCTGCCCCACCCCTGCCCCAGGGAGCCTGGAATCCACTTGGGGGAGTCTCTGTTCTACCCCAGTCCTGCTGTGGGGGAGGGGAGACTGGGTCCTGGCCCCAGCTCTGCCATGGAGGCCCTGGGTACTGGGCCAAGTCCTGCCCCTTTGGGACCTCAGTTTCCCAGATGTATTAGGAGTCAGGGGCCTTGACATCATCTGTGAGGCCCCTACAATTCACGGCAGGTGGCCCTAATATAGACACCAAATTCATACAGATGAGGGATGAAATCCCAGTCACACTCCTACCACTGACTGACCTTGGGCAAGTCCCCCCAGCTCTCAGGGCCTCAGTTTCCTCATCTGTAAGATGCGCAATGAAACCAAGTCCTGTGCTTTCTGTGTTTCTAGTTGAGCTATCCAATAAAGATCTTGAGAGCTCCTGGGGCCACCCTCCATGGCTTCCACCCCATCCTCAGTTGGCACATTTTGTGCTGCTGGGAATATTAACAACAGTTAAAACCCCACTTTTAATGTCCTGTGCTTTACACACACCACCTCCGGCTCCCACAGCCTGGAGGGCAGAGGTGGCTGTCACCCAGCCCTCTCCTGGGACATCATAAGTCTCAGCTTGGCCACTCCTGACAGAAGGGGTCTTGGCCCTGCAGCGGGCCCTCTTGGGCATCTACCCATGCCAGGCCCTGTCCTTGGCTCAGCCGTGGAGTCCTTTGGGCAGGCTAGGCTGGTCTTCCCGCTGTGTAGGTGGGGAAATAGGTTCGTCGTCACCCTGTCTCACAAGGGCCTGCGGACCCTTTGCAGACCGCCCGGCGCACGCACGGGCCTGGTGCGCCCCCTAGTGGCTGCCCTTCGCACCGTCTTGCCCCGCCGCCGGAGCTGCCCGAGGGTGACCAGCAGTGGCTGGCGCGGGAAGTCCCTTTTCTGAGCTTTCTGCAGTCCCGCTCGCTGCGGTTCCACCTCCCCGGAGCTGAGAGGTGTCTTGCTCTGGCTGTCCCTCCTTGCGGCTTCCCAGGGACCCCACCGCGGCTACGCGCCCCGCCCCGATTACCATGGAGACCGCTAGTACACAGTTTTCCCTTCCCCTCCGTCCTGTCCTAAGGGGGCCCCGCGGCGGACCGGCGGACCAGCGGCTGGGGCAAGCTGGGCGGTCGGGCGCCCCATGAACAGCGGGGCCCCAGAGACCCTGGCCGTGGGGAGAGTGAAATTCTTCGGCCGGCACCGCGGAGAGGTGAGGCCCAGCAGTGCCCCGACTCTGGGCTCCTGGGTCTGTGTGGTGGGGGTTCCAGAGTGCTCGCTGGGCTTCACTCAGGACCTTGAGTCTAGAATGGACTTTGTTAATCAAAGAAGGCTCAAAGTGGGGTCTAGACTCCAGCTCTGGGTTCCAGCTCCAGAATGAGCTCTGGGTTCTAAGCTCTGGTTCTAAAAAAGGCTCCAGAATCTGGACTCTGGCTCAGAAGGCTACAGCTCCTGGCTGACTCCAGGGCTTTTGGGCTCTGGCTTTAAAGTGAGCTCAGGGCTTACAGATTTTGAACTCTCAGTTCTCAGCTCCAGCTCTAGAATGGGCTCCTGGCTCTGGAGTTCCAGGCTCTGGCTCCGGAGAAGGTTCCAGCCTGTGGCTTCAGGATCAGGTTTTACAGGGCTCCAGAGAGGGTTCAGTGGGTCCTGGGCTCTGGCTGTGGAGTGAGGCCTGAAGTCCAAGCTCCAACGCTAGGCTCTCGGGGCAGTGTTCAGGGCTGGCCCAGGAGTCTGGGGTCAAGGATCAGTCGAGAGGTGTTTCTTGCCCCAGAACAGGACCACTTTTGTGCTCTGCTTCCAGGTCAACTCCTCCACCTTCTCCTCCGATGGCCAGACGCTGCTTACAGCCTCAGAGGATGGCTGTGTGTACGGCTGGGAGACCCAGAGTGGGCAGCTGCTGTGGAGGTTGGGTGGCCACACAGGTGGGATCGGCAGCCTGGCTGCGGAGACAGATGCCCATGGGTCTGTCTGGCATTTTGCAGAGCCTGCCACAATGCCCAGTGATGGGCTGGGCTTGGGTGCAGGACAGCCAGGGCAGGCCGAGGGCAGGAGGACAAGGGCACAGGACACGGTACCTGGGGGCTAAGGCTTTGACTCTGAGAGACCTGGACTCTGATTCTACTTTTTTCTTTTAAATTGTAGTAAAACATAACACGTAATATTTACAGTTTTAACCTTTTAAGTATACAGTACAGTAGTGTTAAGTACCTTAATGCTATTGTGCACACTATCTTGCAAAACTGAACCTCTGTCCTCGGTAAGTAACTCCTCATTGCCCCTTCCCCATGCACCGACAACCACTGTTTTACTTTTTGTCTCTATGTATTTGACTTCTCCACATATCATATGTAAGTGGAATAACACAGTATTTGTCTTTTAGTAACTAGCTTATTTCAGTTTGCATAATGTCCTCAAGGTTCAAGCCATGTTGTAGCTAGCACTTTTTAAATTAAAAAAAAATTTTTCAGGGACAGGGCTTGCTATGTTGCCGAGGCTGGTCTTGAACTCCAGGCCTCAAGGGATCCTCCTGTATTGCTGGTATTACAGGCACAAGCCGCTGTACCCAGCTCCTGCCACTTTTTTGACTGTGATCTTAGTCAAGTCCTGCCCCCTCTCTGAGCCATTTCTTCTGCTAGAGAATGGAGATAATAGTTGCTACCCTATAGGATGAGATAATCCAAGTGAAGCACCTAGCCCCCAGTAAGGACCCAGTAAGTGTCACTATTACAATTATTACTGAGGGGACAAGAAAAAAAAATCTGGCAATTTAGGCCGGGCGCGGTGGCTCACGCCTGTAATCCTAGCACTCTGGGAGGCTGAGGTGGGTGGATTGTTCTGAGCTCAGGAGTTCGAGACCAGCCTGAGCAAGAGCAAGACCCCGTCTCTACCAAAAAATGGAAAGAAATTAATTGGACAGCTAAAAATATATGTAGAAAAAATTAGCCGGGCATGGTGGCGCGTGCCTGTGGTCCCAGCTACTCGGGAGGCTGAGGCAGGAGGATCGCTTGCCCAGGAGTTTGAGGTTGCTGTGAGCTAGGCTGATGCCACGGCACTCGCCCCAGGCAAGAGAGTGAGACTTCTCAAAAAAAAAAAAAAAAAAAAATCTGGCAATTACAGGGCAAACTGATTAATGCTATTAAAAGTGCAGGGGTTGGGAGCTCAAAGGAGGCAACCGACCAGGCTGGGTTGTTAGGAGTTTCTGGGAGGTGCCTGCGTTTGATTCGAGTATTAACGATTTTGCAGACGGGCAAATTGGGATTGAAGTGTTCCCAGCTGGGAGCCCAGCCCCAGTCAAGGCATGGAAACCCAGGCATTTGCAGGTGGCTAGAGTTTGGATGAGAGGAGGTGGGTGATGAGGCTGGAGAAATTAGCAGGAGCAGCCTGCGAAGGGCCAGGGTGGAAGGCAGTGCCCCATCCCCCTGACCACGGCCACCTGCCCCAGGCCCTGTGAAGTTCTGCCGCTTCTCCCCGGATGGCCGCCTCTTTGCCAGCACCTCCTGCGACTGCACCATCCGCCTGTGGGACGTAGTGGGAGCCAAGTGTCTGCGGGTCCTGAAGGGTGAGTGGGCCAGGAGGCACCCGGAGCTGAGCAGCCAGGCCTAAGCTCCTTTTCCAACCTTACTGTGTCCTGTGTCACCTTCTCCCCTTCCTCAAACCCGGGTTGGTCCCTGCAGGTCACCAACGGAGTGTGGAGACGGTCAGCTTCAGCCCTGACTCAAGGCAGCTGGCTTCAGGTGGCTGGGACAAGCGTGTGATGCTCTGGGAGGTGCAGGTACATGGAGTGGCCAGAGCCCAGCCAAGTCTGGAATCTGGAGGATCCCCAAGGCCCATGCACACACCAGGCACCCAAGACACCCCACATCTGGCTGCAGCCACTTCTCCACACCTCCCTACACACAGCCTCCTGCCTCAGGCTCACACACTAGGTCCCCCTGCCTGGACTGACCTTCCTCACCTTCTGTCAAGGCCCAGATGGCCTCCCCACATGCCATGTTGTCGCACAACCCAGGTAGCCTAGGAGGGAGCGTCTGACCCCTCTGAGTGGCTGCCCTCTGCCACCTCCTGAAGCTCAGGGCTCCATCCTCTAGTCCGGCCAGATGCTGCACCTCTTAGCTGGGCACCACGACTCCGTCCAGAGCAGTGACTTCTCACCCAGCGGGGACTGCCTGGTGAGCCTCACCTCTGTGCCGTCCCCACTCTCCCCCTTGGAGCTGAGCAGCAGAAAGGGGATGGGCTCCTGAGTCCAATCTAGGCACCAAGAGAGTGGTCACTGCCTACAGGCCACTGGCTCCCGGGACTCTACTATACGCATCTGGGATCTGCGGGCGGGTACCCCAGCAGTCTTCTACAAAGAACTAGAGGGCCACAGTGGCAACATCAGCTGCCTGCACTACTCAGTATCGGGCCTCCTGGTAAGCTGGGCTGGTCCCTTGCTGGCTCCAAGACCTGTAGAAAGGGCCACAGGCCATTTGGGGGTCCAGTGAGCTTACAGGCCCCATACTCAGCGGATCAGAGCTGTCTGCTGTTTAGGCATCTGGCTCCTGGGACAAGACCATCCACATCTGGAAGCCCAGGAACAGCAGCCTCCTCCTCCAACTCAAAGGCCACGTCACCTGGGTGAAGAGCATAGCCTTCTCCCCAGACGAACAGCGGCTGGCCAGTGGTGGCTACTCCCACATGGAAGTCCACTCACCAGAGCCCTTAGCACTCCATTTCCAGAAATGCCCACATCCTCACCTGCCTAACAAAGAGGCAGAGGCAGGCCCCAGGTGCTGCCCTATGACCCAAGTAGCCTTAGGCAAGAGGAAACTCCTGCACTGAAATTTGTGCCAGACCCCAAGTGGAGCATTTCAAACAAACGAAAAACCCAGACCAAGATGCCAGACTGGCCCGGTGAGGCCTCCTGTCTCCCTCCCCATTTCCAGGTCAAAGTCTGGGACTGCAACACAGGAAAGTGCCTGGAGACCTTGAAGGTAAGGCTGTGGGGTAGCACCAAGCAGCTGTGGAAGTCCCTGCGCCCCCTGCCGGGGAAAGGCAGGACCTGCAACCGGAGCCCCATCCTGTGCTCTTGGCAGGGAGTCCTGGATGTGGCCCATGCCTGTGCCTTCACCCCAGACGGGAGACTCTTAGTGTCTGGAGCTGCTGATTAGACCAGATGTCAAGCACCCTGCATGAAGAAGTCACCCAGGGCCCCTCAAATGTGCTACCACCACGAACAGCCCTAACCTACCAGGGCTACAGAGGCGCAACCGTAAGTGTCCAACAGGTCCCTGTGGCCAAGGCTGTCAAAGCCCCAGACCAGAGCAGCCAACAGCTGGGGCAGGAGGCTTGCTGGAAACCATCTGACACCTGGTAGCCATAACCAGGGTCCTGCCAGCCTCAGCTCCCAATCCCCTCTCCAGCCCGGTCAGTGGAAATACCAAGCAACGTCAGCCAGTTTTGTGTTTTTATTGATGCCGAGAGACTCAGGCCTCAGGCCTTGACCGCATACTTCCGCAGTGGGTACAGCCGTTCCTTCCGCTGCTGCTTCTTGGTCTTCAGGTTCTCCTCGTGCTTGTTGAGCCGGCGGCGCATGGCACGTGTTTTCTTAGGCCGCAGATCCAGGGGCTTGTACTTCTTGCCCTGGGAGGCAGGCAGCAGAGGGATGTGAGGAGCTGCTGCACTAGCCAAAGCAGCTTGGGAGGCCAGAACTAAGGTGCTGGGAGGGGCACTGGCAAGATGCTGAGAAATGCCAGGTGAGAGGGAGCAGCTGGGATGGAAAGGTGATTTGCAGTGAGGACTTATAGGAGCTCCAGTCCCACAGTAGGGGGCTGCCAGCACAAGACTGGCAGTCGGTAGGTCCTACACCTTGCTCACTAGCTCGTTTAATTCCCCCAAACCCAAGGCTGGTGGGTTACTGGGCTGAGGTGCTCAAATCTCAGCAAAGCTGGGGCAGAACTGGGACGAAGTCAGTGTTCCTTCCACTTGCCCGAGTCCCAGTCATGGAGTCAAAGTTGCAACACAATCTAGTAAGAATCATGTGGCACCACCAAGTCCTGGGGGTGGTTACTGTTACCTTGGCTTTAAGTCACACAAGAGTGTGTATGGGAGTTAAAGCCCTGCTCAATTAATCTGGAGGGTTTGTCAGGTGTTGCCTGTGATAATTCTGAGCCTCGGAGAAAGATCCGGCTTGGCCAAGGTCATCCTGCCATGAGGGGCAAGGCCTGGCCCCCTTTCCTGCCTTGCTCCACTTGCCTCATTCCTGGCCAGAGCTGTCATAGAGCCATCACCCGTCTCTTCGACCTTAGCTCCCACTCCTCCCCAGCGAGGGGTTCTAGACCACAGCAGCTCACTATTCTCTTTGTTCTGGAAAGGTCCCTAGGCCCTCTTCAGGACAAGGCTCTGCTGGGCGCTAGCTTAGCAACCAATCAGACCCAGTCCCTGCTCAAGGGGCGCCCAACACAATAGGGGAGACTAAACAGGTAACGAATGGCCCTTTGGTGCAGAGGAAAGAGATTCTGGGAACCAACAGCATGGAGGAGCAGGCACAGGGTAGACATTTGAGGAAGTGGGGAGCCTGACGCCACACAGCCTCTGCACCAGGCCCCAGCAGGTGGGCAGAGAACCGTGGAAAAGCAGCTGCCCAGGACGGTGACGGGGAGTTCTGGAGGAGAGTTGGAGGCAAGAAAGTCTTTGTCCCTCCACATCTGCTAGCACAGGTCAGGCCCTTGTCCTTTACAAATTTGCTAACCCCCGAGAACTCTGCCGTCCAATGTAACAGCCACTAGCTACATGTAGCTGTTTTCATTAAAAATTCAGTTCTTCAGTCACCGCAGCCACATTAAGTGCTCAACAGCTACATGGCCAGAGGTTACAATTCCATCATCACAGAAAGTTCCACTGACCAAGAGGTGCCTGGTACAGGAGGATGGGCACTCGTTGGAGGGTCAAAAAGACAATTCTTCCTAGCTACCGTCTCTGCCAGTCCTCTCAAAACCTGATGAAACCTTCAAACCCACTCTTCAGGAAAATGTTCTCACACACAAATGTGCGCATATGCCGGTGGGGTGGCAGCCCCCCTGCCCTGCATGCTAGTATCCCCTGGGCAGTTAGCCTAGCCACACTATGATTGCTTTTTTCAATGTGTCAAACTTTCCAGTTATTCAAACGTTAATTTGGATATTGATGTGAAGCCATTTTGCAAACGTAATTAAAACCCGTAATCAGATAACTTTAATTAAGGAAGACTGTCCTGGGTAATCTGGGCGGGTCTGAGCCAATCAGTTGAAAGCCTTAAAGCAGGACTGACGCTCCCTTGGAAGAAATCCCACTTGGGGACAGCAGCTGCAACCTGTGTCACCAGCTCATGCCAGGCACCACAATCACATAAACCAATTGTTTGTAATAAATCAGATGTATGTGCACACACACAATCTCCTACTCATTCTTGTTTGAACTCTGATAACACCGATGTTAAGGACAAGACCAGAAAATGGCTGTCAAAATTCTAGGATGAGAGGGACCAGATACTTGTGCAGATCTTCCAGGAGCATTCAATCCAGCCCTTCCCAGACATGATTTGGAACCAAGGCCAATCACTCCATTGAGTGTAGATAACCCTAGGTAACAATCTCTAAGCCTCAGGGCTTTCATCTGAAAAATGAGAACATCACGTTTCTTGGCAGTGACTGACACATAGTAGGTGCTAGAAATAGACAGTTGAAACCTTTAAACAGTTAATCCCATAAACTGCCCAAGCTCACTCAGCTGGGAAGGCTAGATTCAAACTCTAGTCTCCAGCCAGACTCCCAGCATGCCACTGACTTATCTGCAGGGTGCAGTGTCACATGCCATGCAAGATGCTGGGAAAAGGGAGAACCCAGGCACGAGCTGGGAAAGCTTTGGAGAGCCCAACCACTGCCAGCCCAATGCACCCCAGCAAGAAAACCTCTTTCCTATGCCCCCTGGCCAACTTGGCTTCTTGCAGCCAAATATACCCCCCAGACGCACCTTGTAGAACTTCCTGAGGTTTTCCTTCTGCGTCTGGTTAATTACAGTGAGAACGCGGGCAATGGACTTACGGACGACTCGGCTATAATACAAAAACAGAGAAGTCAGTGAGATGAGGCAGATCATAAAAATACCTTCAATTCCAAGCCAAAAATTTATCCCAAAAGCTACGAAGACCCAACCAACGCCAATGTGAATGAACTGACACAAAAGATCATGCAATAAGCCAAGCAACCAGGCTGACATAAGGAATTGCAGGAGAGGCCACTCAGGAGGGAGAGACATTTGGGAAGCAGAAATGCTATGGGGGAGGGGAAACTGAAGCTAGGACCAGGCTTGGAACAAGTTAATTTGTAGTCATCTTAAACATGAGATATGTCAGGGGATAAGGGAGGGTCACCCAGTGGCTGACTGGACAACATGGTCCTCAGGATTCAGTGTGCAACTCTGCTCAGGTGTTTCCCAACTCATGCAATCCTCCCACCCTACCTTCAAAAGGTTATTGGGGTGGAGGATTCATTTTATATCAGAGGGAAAAACCTATGGAAAGCCCAGTGCCATGGCTCATGCCTGTAATCACAGCTACTCAGGAGGACCAGGTGGGAGAATTGCTTGAGGCCAGGAGTTCAAGACCAGCCTGGGCAACACAGCGAGATCCCCATCTCTATGAAGTATTTAAAAATTAGCTGGACGTGGTGGCAGGTGCATGTAGTCCCAGGTACTCGAGAGGCTGAGGCAGGAAGATTGCTTGAGCCCCAGAGTTTGAGGCCGCAGTGAGCTATGGTCACGCCACTGTACCCCAGCCTGGGTGACAGAGTGAGACCCTGTCCCAAAAATCACAAAAAAAACTCTGGGAGCTAAGCCAATGTAGTGATCAGACAGTATGTGGCAGAAGTGAATGCGTGCCCAAGTCAACTAACTCCTAACCCATGTTCCCTTCCCAAGTCTCTTTCATTCGTGTAAGTCAAAAGTTACACCGCAGCTCAAGTAAAGGATGAGGCACCCACCTACCAATGAGGAAAGGTGAAGAAAAAAGTCAACTAAGTGCTGGTGGGGAGACGGAAAGAAAGGGTCCAGGTAGGCTTTGAGGCAGCATTAGAAGGGGTTTACAGGGACACCCAGTTCTTTCTCCAGCTAGAAAAACCGAGCACGGGCACTCCAGGAAGAAGGATCGCAGGGTCAAAGGCAGGAAGGAGGGTAAGCACACAGTGGGTTGTCCACGTGACCCAAGGATGTACTGAGTGTGCACCTAAACGGACGACTCCTTAAGCCAACTTGGAAAATCCAGAGCTCCCACCCCCAGAGGCCTGTGATCCGGCCGCCCGTCTCTTACATCTTGGAGAGTTTGGACGCCGCGCCGCCTGTCACTTTGGCGACACGAAGCTGGGACAGCTCCACTTTCAGATCGTCCAGCTGTTTCAGCAACTCCTCCTTCTTCTTGCCGCGAAGGTCCCGAGCCTTAATCTTGGCCTGTGTGCGAAGAAGGGTCTGGGTTAGCCAGCCTGCAGGGCCGGCTCTCCTCCACCCGCGCCATGGCCAGCCCCGGAAGGCGCGCGCCTTGCCCCCGGCGGCCCAGCACCGCCCGCGCCCCTAGGCAGGGTAACCGAGGCCCGCGGGCGCGCCCTCGCCCAGGCCGGCTACCAGGTAGAGCCGCTACCCCGACTCTGCAGACGCGAAGACGCAAGTCCCGGCCTCGCGCGTCTCTCTTGGCCCAAGCCAGAGAAGACGGAAGGCGGGTTGTGGCGGCCCTGGGCCTTTCTGCGCGGCGCCTCACGGTCCGGCTGACAGATGGACCCCAGGGCTCAGCCTGTGCCCCTGGCTCCAGTGCCCGCACCCCCACAGCGCATGGATGGCGTCCGATTCCCTCGCCCTCACCATTGCTACACAAGACGCCGCCGCCGCCTGCTCCGAGGGAAAGAGGAAGAGGCGGGGCTGACCTCTGTAACTACTGCCGGGTGGTGGTGGACGCGGCCAATGGCGCCGCAGCGGGGGAGGGGTCCGCTCCGCCTCCCCCGAGGGGCGCCGTGGTACGCCCCGCCCCGCCCGGCCGAGCCGGAGCCCCGCCCCATGGTGCCCGCCTTTTCCCAGACGCGCTGGGCTGCTTAGGTTGGCATTATACCCGGAGCCGCTCTGTTGGGGAAACCAAGGTCCAGGGTGGGTGGCAGCTTACCAAGATGGCACAGTAAAGCCTCGAATTCGTCCATTCAGTCATTTATTCGTTCACTCATTCATTCGGGAAAGCTTGCAGATCTTCCAATCTGCGCTGTGCTATGTATGAGCTAGACGTAGGTGGTCTGGGGGTGCTGAGCCGATGAGGGGGTGAGGGTTTTCAAAGATGAATTAACGCTGCCCTGCCTTGAAGGAATTTAAAGTGCGAGGTGGGCGGGAGCGGGAGGGGCCAGGTCAGACAGTTATAACCCAAATCCATAAAGGTTCTGGAGGAGGCAGCATATGAGAAGAGCATTCACAGACTTTTAAAATTATTTTATTTTGAGACAGAGTCTCACTTTGTCGCCTGGGCTAGAGTGCAGTGGCGTCATCATAGCTCTCACTGCAGTCTAAAACTCCTGGGCTCAGGCGATCCTCTCGCCTTGGCCTCCCAGAGTGCTAGGATTACAGGCGTGAGCCACCGCGCCCAGCCCGGTGTTTAGGCTTTTTGAATGGGCAGTTCCATTGTTGTCCCAACTAGCATACATTAATCTTAATTGGCACTCCAATGTCACTCCATTGCCATTAGCAAAGACATACAACCTCTTAGAGATCTGGTTAATTCCAAGTTGTCCTCTTGTTGCTGTCAGATTTCACCTCCTCCAGGGAACCTTCTTCCATCCCCTTATAGTAGCAATCTCCCCTTGTGTCCCAAGCCCTCTGTACGATCCTCTCTTTAGCCCCAGTCATACTGAGTTAAAATTATATATTCATGTGTCTATTTCCACAGCCAATCTGGAAGTTCCCTGGGAACAAAACCATGGCTGACACCTGATTTGGTTTTTCTAGTCTCAGTACATGAATGCTTGTTGGATGAATTAATTAATGAGCCTTGCTCCAGACCACGGTGAGGCAGGCTTCCAGGGGATAAGGGGATACGGGAAAAAGTAAAGAAGAGGGCAATCTTGGCATGTCACTTATAAATGAAGGTCTAATGGTACATGGAAGCTTTGCTGTCATAGTTCCCAAATGCTTATACTTCTATCAGAGTTAATGACTGTGTACATCTTTTTTGAACTTGAAGCCATTTGTGACTCCTGTTTTTCTTATATGCCACATCTAATCCACCAGCAAATCCTGTGGGCTCTACCTTCAAAATATACCCAACCTGGCCGGGCGCGGTGGCTCATGCCTGTAATCCTAGCACTCTGGGAGGCTGAGGCGGGAGGATCGTTTGAGCTCAGGAGTTCGAAACCAGCCTGAGCAAAAGCGAGACCCTGTCTCTACTAAAAATAGAAAGAAATTAATCGGACAACTAAAAAAATATATATAGAAAAAAATAATTAGCCGGGCATGGTGGCGTATGCCTGTAGTCCCAGCTACTCGGGAGGCTGAGGCAGGAGGATTGCTTGAGCCCAGGAGTTTGAGGTTGCTGTGAGCGAGGACGATGCCACGGCACTCTAGCCCGGGCAACACAGTGAGACTCTGTCTCAAAAAAAAAAAAACCAAAAAAAAAAAAAATACCCAACCTGTTCCCATCACCCTTATTGGCACCTGCCTGGCTTGAGCTACCATTGCCTGTCCCCTGGATAGTTGGTGTCACCTTCTAAATCACCTACTTTGGCTCTCATTCCTAGATGTGTTCTCAATACAGCTGCTAGAGGGCCCCTTTTCAAACTTAAGTCAGAAGCTAGATCATGTCACTTCTCTGATTTCCAGGGCTGTCCCATCTGAGTTAAGACTGAATCCCTTCCTCAGCCTACAGAGTCCTACGCCATTCCCCAAACTCCCATCTCATCTCTTCTTTCTTCTATTCCACTATGACCTTGCTGTTTCCGGAATATGCCAAGCCCAGCCCACCTCTGAGCCTTTGCTTGGCTCCCTCCTTCATTTTCCTCAGGTCCCTGGTCAGTGTTACCTCCTATGGGACACCTCCTTTGACTGCTTTATCTAAGGTACCTCTAGGCACTGCGTGATTGATTTTTCTTTCTTTCAGCACTCAGTCATCCCTGACATAGTATAAAGTGGATTTTTAAATTGTCTCCCTGACTGAAATAGAAACACATGACCATGAGCTGGGACATTATTACATTCACCAGCTTATTTGGAGGCTGTTTCCTTCCTTGTAAAATGGGCATTTCTGGTTTAAAGTTCCTTCTGACCAGGATGTTCTGGTGATACAGATTTCTGTGTTCTTGTGGCCTGCCTGGCTCACAGATATTTCTTCCCAGATATGGAGCTGAAATGCAGGTGGGCTTTGCCTGTTTCCAGGACCCCTCAGAGTTTTATTCAGCATCTGTTTCACACTATGGGAGTCTGCATCTTTAGCCCCCAAGATTAGGTTGCATCATAGTCTGGTGATATTTTCTTTGATGTGTAGACAGTTCAATGAGTATTCAAAGCAATAAAAATGAGATACATTTCAAATACTGACTTTTATTAAAGACCCATTTTACCCTAAGGCTAAGGCCAATTAACAGAATCCCTCAGGCAACAATCCAGGCACATAATCCTGGCACCCTAGAGTCGTCCTTGACTGCCCTAACACCCCCTCACCCTCCATCTCAGATTTTGAGAATTCTGTTTCCTACCAAGAAATGCCTCTCCAGCCAGGCCTGACTTCTCAGCCCCCAGTACCTCGCCCTTCCTGCGAGGATAGTGGCCACAAAGTCATCTCCCTCTCCTGGCCCCCCATCCGCCAGACCAAGGTGACTGCCACACACGCGGGACCGCCGCACCTTCAAGTCAAAACGTCTTCAGCGTCTTGTCAGCCCCTTGTCTCCCACTTCTTTAACGACAGCGTCACTTCTGTGTACAAGGCAGAGGCAACCTCCTCTGGCTCACTGTGATGGTATTCAAGGCCCCAAGACATACCATCTCCCCGTCACTTCTCGGGGCATGAGCTCCTACTCATCCCTAACGCACCAGCTCGAAGGTTTCTCCTCCAAGAAGCCTGTCTACCACTTGAGAAGCAGAGCCGGGCGCCTTCTCCTGGGGGCCCGGTGCTCCCAAGTCTGGACAGTGGTCACCCCTTGATTCCGGTCTGTGCCCGCGCCAGCCGCTCCCGGGGATCCTCAGAGGAAGGGAAGAAGCCGGAGAACGATGGCAGTTATGGCGTATACGACGCTGGGCTTGCGCGGGCACGAGACGCTCGCTTCCCTGAAGGAAAGTTGAGGCTCCACAAAGATGAGAGTACGTCGTGTACCGTGGGGGAAACCATCATGCCAGCTCTCAGGCGCGCCCTCCCACTGGGCCCGCCCCGTCCAACGAAACTTCCGGTTCCGGCGTGGCCCGGAAGTGGGCGGGCAGCGGCTGCGCGCGGAGGAGGTGGAGGAGGTGCCGGGCGGCCGCTTCCCGCCCCCGAGCCGGAGCCGGTGCCGAGCGGAGCGAAGCCGAGGTCGGGCCCAGAGCGGAGCCGGCTGAGTGGGCGCCGAGCTCCCGCCATGGCCCGGAACACGCTGTCCTCGCGCTTCCGCCGGGTGGACATCGACGAGTTTGATGAGAACAAATTCGTGGACGAGCAGGAGGAGGCGGCTGCGGCGGCGGGAGAGCCAGGCCCGGACCCTAGCGAAGTGGACGGGCTCCTGCGACAATATCCTTCCCGGTAGCGGGGGCACGGCCTCCGCGCTCTTTTCGGCCCGGGCTCCCCTTTGGCCTAGACTTCCCATTTTCCCCATCCCCGGCTTGGGCCCCTTGGGCCGGGCCTCCCCACTGCCCTCACCCCCGGCCCCTTCACGTCAGCCTCCCAGCTCCCTTCCGATCCTGCTCCCCTCGGGCCATGTTCCCCTCAGCCGTGGTCTCCACAGTTCCCCCATCCCGGCGCCTTCCTCCTCAGCAGTGCAGCCCCACGCGGCCCCTGGACCCTGGTGGACGGGCTCCCTCGGCGGCCCCAGGAGCACGCCAGATGTAGCTCGGGCCCCGCAGGCCCCTCACCCTTCCGCGCGGCTCTCCTCTCCCCCCGCCCTCACCTTGCTGCCTCATCCTCTCAGGCTTTCCCTTCCTTCGGCCCCCATCACTCCATCCCTCCCTTGTAGGAAATAGGACCATTCACTGAGCTGGGTCGGCGGGAGGGGCCGAGGTGAGCCATCTCTTAGTAATTGAGCGGTCCGGGCAGCTCGGGGCACAGTCCTCCTGGGCCTGCCCTACTGGCCTTCTTGGGCCCGATTGCTGCACAGCATGAAAATGGGTGGGTGGATGGTTGCGGGAAAGAAAGGACCAAGGGCAGAATGAAGGCTGCAGCCTCAGTTCAGCCCTGAGTCTGACATTGTGCCCCTCCTACCCTAGGGTCAGTCTGACCCTCCAGCTTAATGCCACCCGTTCTCACCTATTCTCACTTTCCTCTGAACACCTTTGGACCTTAGTGGTCTCAGCCACGCTCAACAAGTGAGTTTTGGCTCCCCCAGTAGCCTTCTTGTGCAGGAAGTAGTGGAAAAAACTAGTAGTTTAGAGCTAAGAAAAACCACACACCGTAAAGCAAAGTGTAAAAGTAGAGCCCCCAGACTGGAAATGACTGTTCTTGTGGCCACAGAAAGCAAGCGCTTAGAAAAGGAAATTAAAAATAGAGGTGATTGTCACAGCCTGCTTGGTTTCTTAGTAGCTGGAGAACAGGAAACTGACTTATTCTCACAGGAAGGATTTTTCTTTATTCAAATGGTGTTACAGGAAGTGCATTCCCCTCCCCCTGTGCTTGCAGGGGCACGGTTGCAGGCTCATACTTTGTATAAATCAGGTTCTCTGTGTTTAATCAGTTGACTCAACTTGGGAAGTCAGGCCCACTGCTTTTGGGAGGAGTCCTGCCGTGCTCCTCCAAT